ATGTTCTTATCAGTGCCACCCTAGTCCAATTAACTAATTTTTTAAGCTTTTAATAATATAGCTCAAAACGTCAGCATGTAAGCTAACTGCATAAGGTTTACAAGTTTGAAACGTGCTAGTGCTTAGAACCCTTCGAGAATCATTTTAGATAAGGGGTAGCTACTGTAAAGTGTTGCACAAGTCATCCAGCCATATCAGTCATATATGTTCTAACAGTCGCCCTTTGTCTCCAGAGATATTATTTTCATTATTCCATTTCGTGACAAGTCACGCATGGATATCGAGACTCAACTGAAAGATCTAGATATCTTATCTACTCTTGTCTTAGCCTAAAGTTTCGTAGGTTAGTGTCTAATAAGGAGTGTAGACTTCCCCTGAAACTTGGATAATTATTAGCGTGGCGAATAGTTCTCTAACTGATAATCTCTTTTTCTGCGATACCTCCCTGGATACTGAGTTTAATTAGACAAATAGTAGCTTATTTTATAGCTCTTATATATAGCTATAGCTTACTAATAGAAAGTAAGCTAGTTAGTGAATGTTTCTTAATAAGCATATGAAAGAGAGCTGCGCCTTTCTCCTATAGGACTTCGGGGTGTAGATCCGAGTGACCGCCGCCAATCGGACCGCGCTCAAATATCGCGCATAGTTAAAGACATAATGAAATTTAACTAGGAAGTATAACACCGCTTTCATAAAAGAGCATAGATGCATGCCTCAATTTCATTATCTCCGTCTGAGCCTCGACACCCGGCATCAGTTTCAGAGTCAGGTCCTATTACTTTGTATGACAACTCTGTATCGCGCCTATGGACGCTCTTACGCGCTAACAGTGATATACAACCCTGAGAACCATGTAGATCCTTCGGTCTTACTTATAATACTAACACCCTATTCGTGGAATTGCTTACTTCATCATTTTCATCAATCATGTAATCTGCTATAGCAAAGCAAACATGTTGCCGGATAAACTATACCAATCTTCAAAATGTAATAGTATGTGTATGAATCATTTATTATACTAGGGGTTAGCGCCTGTGTACCCTTGTCTTCTCTTTTTTAATATCGTGAAAGAAAAAAGGTTATGCACTTGTCGATGGTGTCCTGGAGGTCATTTTGATGAGGAGGTCAACGTTAAATTTAAGCAGGTTACTTATAAAACTAGCTGTAGTAGTTCAATTCAGGCGTTATATCACTATAGTAAATTATACTCAATATTACACATATACTCCGAGATGTAGAATCTACATGATACTGCTTATGATAAAGATCGGAAAAGACTCGGAGTTATTGTAGAATGAATACCTGCGGTTTGCTGGGGATATTGGATTATAAGAATCCGGACAACTATCATGAACCCGAAATTTAACCTAGCCGAGTTCAATATCGTCAACGGCATGCAACTGCGCCTCTCGAACCTTCCCGTTCTCTAATGCACTCTCGACATGGCTATTCATCATTGGCGCCACGCTCTTCAAGAAGCAGGCCGCAAACCCGTTTGCAGCAACAAGCACGGCAATTGCAAGCGCCAAACATACTTCCATGCTCATACAATCTTAACCACATTTACCGGCGCTAGACCACTTGATCTGGGTAGATATCTGTCCGCAATGTGTATTTTTCGGCGGGTGCCATGATTTAAGACTTGTGCGACCCAGTTTCTGAAAACTGTTCGTTGCCACGAGAAATTCTTGAAGGGCTGTGCCTAGATATCCAACCCTTGTATCGACCAAAGTGCCTAGTACCTATTTGAAGACTCGGAAGAGCGGTACCTGAAAGATCCGAGTACATGCATATTCACCTTCGGAGTCGGAGACTATTGCCCCCGAAACCCCGCAGACACCCGCAGCTCCCCACATTCTTTCGGCCCGATTTCCATAAGCTACATCGTATTACTCGGAACTCCAACAAACCTTTCCACTAACCTGCCTTTCTAGATAGCGAAAAACCCGGTGGGCCGGAAGGAACTATCCAGACTGCCAGCTCGGCAGATATCCCGGCACCATGGTGTGTTTAATTACCTAGATCCAACCCACCGGGTTTTCCGCAATATTGAAGAAGGAATGTCAGATGTTTTATAACAACACTTTGAAGCTGTGTCTTGATTGATTATCCTCCTCTTACATATCAAATCATGGCATTTGAGATCTATATCCCCGAGGCTCTCACCTTCCAAGACTACATCAACGTCACGCAATGCGCCAGGACCCTTTCTGATGGATATGACCGAAAGGTTCTCACTTGTTCCAAGCACTTTTGCAGCACATCCAATAAGCTAATACAACAATGTAGGACAAAGAGAGACTCCAAGCTTGCCTTGCACCATCTATTTCGGTCAACTACTCTAGTATAAATCCGGCATGGGGTGTTCAGTCTTTCACGCGAGAGGATTTTGTCACAGAATGGCTCGGTCCACAAAAGCTTGGTGTCAAGGCTCTCGGAACGCAGCATCTACTAGGTGCCCCGTACTTCAGATCTGTCACAACGGAGGAGATTGTGGTCGAGTGGCAGCAGCTGGCAAGTCATGGAAGGAAAGTCCAAAGTGAAGATTTTGCAAGCCCGGCTTGCAGAATTGGAGAGGAGAGCGATGGACGAAGCTACATGCTGCAGACCTTTTTAAAGATTGAGGGCAAATGGAGGATAAAGGAAATTAAGCCCGAGTTAATTTATAGCACAGGAGACTGGAAGGCAGTTGGAAGGCCAGATGAAGATGAGAAAGCTTGATTGTTTCTCCAGCTGCCAGGTTTTATGATTTTCTTTCATATCGAGAAGGACGAGCAGCATCACTCCTAGTTATAGATCAACAAACTTGAACAGAATTCTATTACCTGCCAGGTACACAGATAGATAGAACAAATGAAGTACGCAATCCATTGCTCGGCTCTTGGCGGCCGGAGCCTCGGCATTCCCGAACGCCAAGCTCCAGCTGCCAGGTTTAAGGGCGGCTAGATGTGTGTGTAGTATTGTCAGATGGTGGCAGCGTTCAGTAGAAGGCTCAGAAGCCAAGGGCGCACTGCACGTGACGCACGAATAAGTACTAAGGGATAACACTAGGCAGTACCTAGAGAGGTGCGGGGAAAGGGTAGTAACAGGGGGGGAGGGGGAGCTGGTACAGGGCCAGCAAGTGGGTAGCGGGAGGTTGCTAGAGAGCATCATGATCCAGGCGTAGTGGGCCGTGTGGGAATGAAGAGCGGATGTGGCTGTGCATTGGCATATTGACAAGGTTCTTTTTGAATTTTGAATACATCCAGTTGACAGTAAGTAAGTCTAGAATCTTCATTTTCTGGAGCAGAAATGGCATCCTACCACATTTCTTCCAGAAAAGGAGAAGAAGAGGGGAGGGGGGAGACCTAGCGCGCAACTGGTGTCATACGAACCATGAGTGACGGTCTTTCCCAAGTTGTGAATAGCTTTTGACGTATCCAGTTCCTGGACTCCGGCAAGACCTCAATGTCAAACTCAAACACGACCAAGGCCAGGACGAGTCTCATTTCAATCAAGGCAAGACTGCAAGCACGAGGTTAGACAAGCTTGCGCAGTTTCTTTTCTTTTGTACAGCAAACTTACTTTCTGCCAATGCAGTTTCTCGGTCCAAAAAGGAACGGCTGTAGGACATCACGTTTGTCGCCGGCCCATGCCAGCTGATTGGAATCGACGAATCTCTCTGGGGCGAATTCGTCGGGCCAGGCGAAGTTGTGAGGCGACCTGAATGCAGAGTATTGGCTGATGCCGACCAGGGTATTGCCTGGGACAAAGTAGCCGGCAATAATCCCGCCTTCGGGTGTAACTAAGCGAGGATGACTCGTCGGGGAGGGCGGATATAGGCGCATTGTTTCGTCAATCACCGCGGCCAGATAGCGCAGGCCAGCAGCCTTCGAAATAGTAATTTCACTTCTGTGAGTGAATGCTGACCGAACCTCTGTCTTTAGTTTTTGATATACCTCGGGATTTTGATTGAGGAAATAGGTAGCTCCTGAAAGGGCCGTAGCTGTCGTTTCGCTGCCAGCAACAATTAAGGGAGTGGCGTTATTGAACACTTCGTCCATGGTGATCTTGCCCTGTTTCTGAGCCACTAAAAGATTCTCCATCAAGTCTGTATACTGTAGCTTAGCTTCTATTCTCCGATGAAGTTTCGCTCTCGTCATCTCTAGGAGTGCATTGCCTTCGTCGACGACTTTCTGCGGCACAAGTTTGATCAGAAACTGGGAAATCCGTGGTGCTAGGCGATTAAAAGACCGGTTCCAGGAAATTACCCTCATGGTACTGAAAATGAACTTTACCCATGGATGATAATCGGAGCGCGAAAGACAATTGAAGGATTCTGCAAATAATAGGTGGCCGATAACGTCGAATGCAAGATACTGTCATGGTTAGACATCGTAATCTTTCTTTATATGACAAGACATACATTATACCACGCAGCCACGTCGACTGGATTGTCGCAGAACTGGCGCAGTCGGTCTACCAGAAGATTGGCGTAGCCAGAAATGACAGTCTCCTGCTCTCGTAGTGCTTTGTCCGAAAAGCCGTGCGACAAAAGTCGCCTTAGCTTTGAGTGGTCGCCTTTGTGAACAGAAAAGAGGCTTGGGCCAGCATCGGCGGTGAAGACCAGGGATGGGTCCTTGATATATTCTGGCGTTCCACTTCGATGACCATAAATATCTTTCCAAGCTTTGGCATCGACAAAAATGAGTTCGTCTGGTGCAATTCGAATCGTCGGACCGTACTTTAGATGCATCTGGTGTAAAGCGTATTGGAGATCACCACGGAGACTATGATAAGAATGCCACAAGACGCTGGCTCTGGCCAGCCAAGGGCCTGGGAACGCTTTTAAGGGGTGCAGATATACGTTGTAGAAGGCTCGAAGAACCCAGTACTAGTTTGAATCCTGTATAGCGTAACTCTTCGTCGTGGAAAGCTAATGGTGAATTCTGGTACTTACTACAAAAACAGCGACAACAGCCAAGGTAGCCGCTGAGGCTGGAGCAAGTTGCAGCATGCTGACAAAGAAAATCTATGCTGAACAATTGTGGCAATCTTCGAGCGAGGGCACTGTGCACGCTGGGCTTCCATATATAGTTATCTTGCAGCCAGATACTGGTCGCACGACCGAGTAGAAGCGGAGCGTCAGTCGAATCAAACTTCAGACCGCAACCTTATATCCCGGCTTGCTAGCAGATCTTTGCTGTTTCTTCAATCAGAGAGCGCTTTTTTTCTTCTTCAGTAATTAGCCTGCTTCCTTGCTCTTAGGGCGGGGTATCGAAGTCGAACAGGTCAGGTGCAGGCGATCGCGGGGCAGTGCAGCCCCTCGCTGCTTCTCAACAACAGTCTCAATTCGCACACTTCTTTCAACACTATCGCGCAATGGAACAAACGCACTTCTATTCTAATTCATTTCGCTTCTTCTGTGTTTTGCATTAGTGTCTTCTGCTAGCTATCACTTTTTCTCAAGTAGCAACTACATATCTATGTATTCGATATCACTACCCCGCTCTGCCTCTATTACTGACGTGTTACCCTATCAGCCTCACAGGCCTTAGAAATAGGGTTTAAGGTTTCCAGCTGCTACTAAAAAATCCTAGCATTACCAATTACTTATTATTAGTAAAGTAGCTACGCTAATAAATATTATTCTATCCAATAGTGCTAAGCTATACTTAATTACTAGCTTACTTTAGTGTTATAGCCTAATATAGCAATATATAAGAAATATTATTTATAATTATAGAATAGGGTACTATACAAATATACTACTTAAGTAGATTTTTACTATTGTATTTACTTTACTAGCTAACAGCTATTTTGTAAGTATTATTTTCAAAGATTATAAAGTTCTTATTAAGATAGTAATAGAAAGTTTATATTTAAGGCTAAAGGTTAAACCAGTATAAATCATATAAGACTTTAACTCTTTTTTTAGCTACTTTATATGCTAACTAAAGATATATAAACGCTTAACTTCAACGTACTATAAGTTACTACAATTTATAATAGAATACTATAAGTTTTAAAGTATTCTTTTATAGTACTTATTTATAGTTTTCTAAAGCTATGTTAACATTTTTTTTATAGTATAGTAGGAGATGTTAAAATTATAGGTTTATCTTATTTGTATTTATGATTTAGTAAAGCGCTATATACGCTATATATACTAGTAAACTTTAGAGCTTATTATGATAGTATTGCTATAGAGCGTTATTTACCTCCAGCTGCGCGTGTGCTCTAAGGCTCTATAGGTCCTATTATAATTAGTCTAATAGTTATTCTAACTCTTACTATACTATATAGGCTTATATTCTAATAGGTTGTCAGACTGTGAGGGGTTTCTGATCAAGGACTGTTTTTGGGTCACTGTGATAAAAGACTGTGATAAACTTAAGTATAGAAACTGAGTGTATTGAGTTGTTGTGTGTTCTGTCGTCTGTAGGGGCGCGAGGGCGCGCCCCTTATAAGAGCTATCGCTATTGCTTTTTGTATTAGGTAGGCCGCTAA